GTCTCATAATACAAAAGTAACATGGGATTTTACTAGTTGATATTTTTTTTCTTTATTTTCTCCACAAAGATACAAGCTGATTCTGAACCTGAGATCTCTCATTATCTAAATTCTTACTTTATCAATAGGATTAATTATATTTCAGTATCTTGAAGTATGATGTAACTATACTAATGACCCTAGAGTCCATTTATACACAATGGTGACGCTGGGATTGTAATTCTAATTACACGGATGACTAATCGCCCGGACAACCATCAACTTTCAAGGTTACCTAGGGGTGTCCATCCGGGCTGGGCCGGCCCGGCCCGAGCAAAACCGAAGCTCGGACCTGGGCCCGGACAGGGCCCCTTTTTTTATTTTTTAATTTTTTTTAAAAATTAAAAAAATAATAAATCATAAAATATACATAAAAATTACAGAAAAATAACATAAATTTTTTTAATAACTTGAAATGACATAAATTACAAGTACAAAAAATTATAAAAATAAAAGATGATAAAAATAATTTCTTTATTAATAATCAGTAAATCATTTACAAGTATAAATTTATTTCGAAATTCGTCGCATCACAATAGATGAGTAAATCACAACTAGGTTGGCACCTACTCACCCATATCACTATCATTTATAACTTTTTCTAAAATAATTCATTACAAATTTAAAGCTAAGAAATAAAAATTACAATTTCATGAATATTATCTAATCTTTATATCTATCTACTAGTCCTAACTCTTCAAATTTATCTTCAATTATAGCAATCGGATCGATGCCTTGTGTTCCCTTCTTGTACCTCCACCAATCTTGTAAGCACATCATCGCTTGTACAGTATACGGATCTAAGCATGTCCTGTGGTCATCGATCAAACATCCTATTGTGCTGAAGGCGGATTCTGAAGCTACAGTCAAAACCTGCACTGATAGTAAGTCACGAACCATGGTGGAAAGTATAGGATATGAAACTGATCCATATATTCTCCACCATTATAAAATATCTAAAGCATTTCCTTGACATTTAACTAAGGAAGCAGAAAAATATTCATCTAATTCAGAAACCTCTAATCCTGAACCAATTCCAGATCCACCAGTTAGTTTAGTTACCATTGCATACCTATCAAAACTTACACTTTTACATCGACCTGTGCTCGAAGCCGAAGGCGCTGAAGTTGTAGACTGTTGTGAAACTACACCATGTCTAGCTGCACACTCGTCATATAATATTTGAAAATAATTTATAATAGATAAATGATGAGAAGTAGCAGTAAGGGTGGAACCATCATCTAAGTCTATAATCTGTCCACCATACAATGACTGTAACAAACTTCGAAAACCAATATCCTTTAAACATGGATCAATAAGAACCCCCAAACCAAAAATATGAGGAATAGGCCTAAAATACTTATTAAATTTGCTCTTCATTTAAAAAATTATATTTCCAAAAATATCATCCATACGATATTTGGCAAAAAAATTTTGAATATTTAAAATTTATAAAGCAGCTAAAGTAATAGTTGGATAATAACAACTAGATAATAACATAGTAGCATCATAAAAAACTTGTAACATCTCATTTAATTTATATATAATTGTCCATTCATCTTCACTTATTCCATAAGTGCTGCCAGAGCTAAAACTAGAAGCATAAAAATTTATAAAATCATTTATAATTTTTTTATATTCTATTGCTACACTTAACATTGCATATGTGGAATTCCACCTATGGTCAACATCTTTTGGAATTAGTCTAGGCTTATAATTTTTTTTCTTTTACAACATCGTTTGTACCTTTTAATTCTCATTTCAGAAGCATTATGCATATTAGCAACTGTTCTAACCTTTTCTATCATGAGTTTAATTTCAAAAAATACACTTTGAACAATTAAATTTAAAATATGACAGATACATCTAACATGAAAAAGGTCATCGTGATATGGCAATGACAGAGTTGTTTTAATAAAATCAATAGCTACATTGTTATTACTTGTATTATCTAGTGAAAGAGAAAATATTCTTTGATCAATTTCTAGTTTCATAAGTTCTTCAATTATTAAAATTACAATATTAATATCAGTGTGTGACTCTTTAATTGCAATAAAAGAAACAACTCTTTTAAACATTTGCTAATTTTTATCAATCCAGTGTGCTGTGATACATAAATAATCAGTTTGCACTCTAGATGTCCAAATATCAGAAGTTAAAGAAAATTTACAGTTTAAAATTTTAAAATAAGAAATTATTTTTCCTTGTTCCTCCTGATAATATTTTAAAATATCACGTTGATAGCTTTGACAAGGAAATTTTGTAAATGCGGGATAAAACCATCTCTAAACAAATCTTTAAATTCATCATCTTCTACTAATTTAAAAGACAGGTTTTTAAGAACAATAAACCTGATTACGCATTTCCTAGCTCGGGCAGCATCATAATTCTAACTACCGAGAGTACCAGAAGAGGAGGATTGTGATATCATAGACTGTCGGATATCACCTTGAAGATTCTGGCCTTTGTTGTGTTTTTCTATATGGTGTTTGAGATGGTTGGTGTCGCTTTTATGATGAGCTTGGAAAACCTGGCCGCACAACACACATTTTGCTTTTTGGGAGATGATCCTACCATGTTCATCCTTTGTAACGTCTATCTTCTCGAAAAATTCCACACATCGGATCTCGGTATTTTAGGAGCTCTTGGTGCAGTAGATTCGTCACCACCAGATTCAGGATTAACACCGATAGGAGGAGGAGTTGTTGTAGAAGGACTGATCTCTGGATCGGTAGGAGATAGGTTTTTCTCTTCATAATCAGATCCAGAAGCCATTTGATGGAAGTATTAGAAAATATAAGAGATTATAAGATAGTATAAGAGAGTATAACATTGTATAAGAGAGTATTAGAGAGAAATAGATGAGTTTTATTATGAGGAAATGAAGTGACCCCCCCGCCCTTCTATTTATAGAGGCAGACCCCTAGGCAAATGAAAAAAAAAACTCTCATATTCTAGCCGTTTTTTGATCGTTTTAAGGGGCAAATCGGTCAAATGACCAAATATGACCGTTTGGTTGGTCCGGACCGGGCCGGGCCGAGCAATTTGACCGCCCGTTAAACGGCCGAAATGATTCGCGCCGGGTCGGGCGGCCCGACATTTTTGCAAACAGGTCACGAATTTGTGACCGTTGGCACCGAAGGGCTGAGCAGCACTGGCCGCGGATCGGTTTTTATCGGACAACTGTCACCCTACTGGTGACGCTGTGTTGCCCGAGTTGGGCCCGGGCCCCTGGCGCCAAGATACGGACGGGTCGGGACTATTCCGGGCCGGTCAGATCCGGACCGGCAGTTCGCGTCGATCGGGCCGGACCCGGGTTTGGCCCGGGTTTCCGGGCCGACCAGGCCTAGGCCTGGGTTCTGACGCAGGGCCTAGGCCGGTTCGGCCGGCCGGTTCGTGGGCCGCGCTTCGGGCCGGGCCCGGATCGCGGGCTTTTTGGACACCCCTAAGGTTACCCATGTAAATACAATCAGTGACCTCGGAGTTACACTTGTAATTGTAGATACATAAACTTTCAAGTTCACCAGTATAATTACACAATACATTAAGGTAGTGGCTTGTAATTAGTCCTTATAAATAATCAGATTAATTAACTTTGTTTAATTTGACCGTATGCTTTTATTCTCAACCACTCTTATATATGGAATATGTTTTTCTAAAAAGTTAACATGATATCTTGAAGAGATTACAGTTATATTCTCGATCATATCTGGCGTATTAAAATTCAAGAAATACAGAAAGAAAAAATCTATACGAAGGTGATTGGGAGTTTAACTCGGTATGGACGCCAAGATCAACATTCAATTTGTGATTATTGTCAGTATTGTAACCATTGACCAACGTCAATTTAGTAAATTTTTTAACCTTTTCTTTGTTAAGATATTTTTTACTTTTCAATTCTTAGTCCGAGACATTTGTGGGTATATACTCTTTCACATGTTTAATTAATGAATTTTTTTAAATACGAGGAGCGCGTCATCAATGAAAGATAACAAAATAAGATGAAACTAGATATAAGAAAAACTCTTTAAGGACCCAAAATATTGGACTAATAGGAGGGACAAGTGAGGTGTCCCCCTCCTATTGAATAATGAGTTGGCCATCATTAATGATGACCAGCTCATTATCCAATAGGAGGGGGACACCTCACTTGTCCCCTCCTATTGGTCCTATATTTTGGGTCCCTGTAGCAAAGCTCTATTTACTCATCAAACTAAATTCAAAAGTTGTACACAGATGATTCAATCCAAATTAAAGCGGTCGATGACATTTCTTAAATTAGCATTCGACTACGTAATAAGAGGATTCATCATATCAACCTTCCATGATGTTAAAACTGAACTATTCAATTATTAATTTAAGTTATTATTACTTCCACGATGATAAATATTTTCTTCCTATTTCGGGTTTATTCTTTTCTAGCGAAGTTTCCTTTACATTAGAATCAAATCCTAATGAGAACAGGATTAGGATGCGGATATTTTCCTAGATATCTATTAAAACTTTTTTGGAAATGACAAAATTGGAAGCCCTGACATCTTTCAAATTAAATCATTATTATCATCCCGTGTTCGATTTAGGATTGGGCAATGCACTTTTGTAGAAATACCCTCAACAACCTCTATTTATCACCCGTAAAAGGAGGATCTATCTAATTAGTAAATGTTTCTGTTTTCCTACCCGATTGTTCCGGATTTGACCGAAATTTCTGTCTATACAACAGTAAATTCCCATAAATGACGATAAATCTCAGCCGTCCGTTTCTGGACCCAGCTAAATTAGAGTTTTTATTTCCAAACCCAAAAGTTTTACGCCGGTCATCTTTCAATCCACTCTAAAAAAGTTTACGCCCGGTTAATATTTTAATAAACTATAGCAGCTTAGCTCAAAATCCAGAAAAAGACGAAGGAAGAATGAAATGATGGTACCCTGAATTTAAAAATGATTTCTGAAGTTGCCGAGCTTAAAAATAAATCGGATAAAACATCGGGTGAGTAAAAAAAAAATCATGTATCACGGTCTTCCGCTTCCCTTTCTGTCTGTTTCCAAAATTAAACAGATAATAATAGAAAGGTCGCATTTCCAAAAAAGAAATCTGTTCATTCTAAAACCCTAATCCCATAAATCCCCGGCCCCGCCCACAAAACCCCACGATCACATCTCAGCGACCTGATCGAAAGCTGAGGGCAAGGATGACGAGGAAGTGCTCGCATTGTGGTAACAATGGCCACAACTTGCGGACCTGCCCCACTCGAGGAGGAGGAGTGAAGATCTTTGGGGTGAGGCTTGATGGGGGAGGATCGTCGTTTCGAAAGTGCTCAAGCATGGTGAATCTCTCCCATCACAGCGGCGGAGGATCTGTAACCATTGACCAACGTCAATTTAGTAAATTTTTTAACCTTTTCTTTGTTAAGATATTTTTTACTTTTCAATTCTTAGTCCGAGACATTTGTGGGTATATACTCTTTCACATGTTTAATTAATGAATTTTTTTAAATACGAGGAGCGCGTCATCAATGAAAGATAACAAAATAAGATGAAACTAGATATAAGAAAAACTCTTTAAGGACCCAAAATATTGGACTAATAGGAGGGACAAGTGAGGTGTCCCCCTCCTATTGAATAATGAGTTGGCCATCATTAATGATGACCAGCTCATTATCCAATAGGAGGGGGACACCTCACTTGTCCCCTCCTATTGGTCCTATATTTTGGGTCCCTGTAGCAAAGCTCTATTTACTCATCAAACTAAATTCAAAAGTTGTACACAGATGATTCAATCCAAATTAAAGCGGTCGATGACATTTCTTAAATTAGCATTCGACTACGTAATAAGAGGATTCATCATATCAACCTTCCATGATGTTAAAACTGAACTATTCAATTATTAATTTAAGTTATTATTACTTCCACGATGATAAATATTTTCTTCCTATTTCGGGTTTATTCTTTTCTAGCGAAGTTTCCTTTACATTAGAATCAAATCCTAATGAGAACAGGATTAGGATGCGGATATTTTCCTAGATATCTATTAAAACTTTTTTGGAAATGACAAAATTGGAAGCCCTGACATCTTTCAAATTAAATCATTATTATCATCCCGTGTTCGATTTAGGATTGGGCAATGCACTTTTGTAGAAATACCCTCAACAACCTCTATTTATCACCCGTAAAAGGAGGATCTATCTAATTAGTAAATGTTTCTGTTTTCCTACCCGATTGTTCCGGATTTGACCGAAATTTCTGTCTATACAACAGTAAATTCCCATAAATGACGATAAATCTCAGCCGTCCGTTTCTGGACCCAGCTAAATTAGAGTTTTTATTTCCAAACCCAAAAGTTTTACGCCGGTCATCTTTCAATCCACTCTAAAAAAGTTTACGCCCGGTTAATATTTTAATAAACTATAGCAGCTTAGCTCAAAATCCAGAAAAAGACGAAGGAAGAATGAAATGATGGTACCCTGAATTTAAAAATGATTTCTGAAGTTGCCGAGCTTAAAAATAAATCGGATAAAACATCGGGTGAGTAAAAAAAAAATCATGTATCACGGTCTTCCGCTTCCCTTTCTGTCTGTTTCCAAAATTAAACAGATAATAATAGAAAGGTCGCATTTCCAAAAAAGAAATCTGTTCATTCTAAAACCCTAATCCCATAAATCCCCGGCCCCGCCCACAAAACCCCACGATCACATCTCAGCGACCTGATCGAAAGCTGAGGGCAAGGATGACGAGGAAGTGCTCGCATTGTGGTAACAATGGCCACAACTTGCGGACCTGCCCCACTCGAGGAGGAGGAGTGAAGATCTTTGGGGTGAGGCTTGATGGGGGAGGATCGTCGTTTCGAAAGTGCTCAAGCATGGTGAATCTCTCCCATCACAGCGGCGGAAGGATCGGTGGCCGGCGACGAGAGAGAGAAGGATGGGTACGCTTCCGAGGGTTTTGCTGCTAAGGGGCCCAGAGAGAGGAAGAAAGGTTTGAATCCGTCGCTTCGTTGATTCTCCCCAGTCACCCTTTTTTTTTTTTTGCCTTCGTGGTGGAGTAGTTTATCTCTTATCATACCTTAATGTAGTTTCTAATTTGATTGAAATTCAATTTCTTGGATGCAACATGAAACTTAAGGATTGGGGGGATCGGGGACGTTAAAGTTAGTATAACTGAACAAACTTTCTTGGTAAATAATATTGCACTATAATGTGTCTTTTGGTTACCCAAGGTGCCTTTCATGCATCGGTGTGCTATTATTCTCCTCATTAGGGGACTGTGAACATGTTTTGGATCCGTCACAGGATGTAAATGCTTGTCAGGATGATTGTTGACCGGAAACAAGTGCACTGATTGAGAATTCTGCAGTTTCATCCTGTGGTTTCGAGTTCATGTGGCAAATTTTGACTTTTGGATGCTTGGACATCTGGATATCCTATCTGCATGTCTATTTGAAAGAAGGATTTTTGGGTAGATAGGGGCTTTCTGAATGGTATATATTTGTGATGGTTTGAGTCATAGTTACACTGTTAGCGGTACATAGTGAGTCACAGTACGAATTCGGTTACGCAATTCGACAATCAGAAAATTTCGATTTGTTAGGGGATAGCTTGCTTCAGTACGCAAGTTCAGTTAGTGGTACTTTGTAATTTTTTTAAGGATGCGCTTAAAGTTTTCAAAAGTATATAGTATAAAACTATAATTGTGAATTTTAATATTTTTTCATACAAAATACTTGCGAACGTGCACTTAAAGAGACTTTGTATCTAGCATACTTGTAAGTGGTACACTAATTTTGGGGAACCAGTTCGTGTATCAGAGGGAATCAGTTTGTAGATGTACCGGGAATCGGTTCACAGAAACTGTACGATAGTTCGATGGGGGTCTAGGGAATCGCGCAACGACGGTTTGAGTTTAGACAAAACTAGAATTTAAATCCTCCTTGCTTCATAGTTTCCTAGTTCTGCTCCACGTCCTGATTTTTCTTATAATCTGATCCCTCTGCAACGGTACCCTATTCCTTACCTAAACTGCTTTATATAACATTATAAGCCTTGTAATTAAAAAAAGGATGTTGATATTTGGTACAGAGAGCATAAAGTGTAAATAAGAAGAACAAATCTTAGTTTTTAGGCAATTGTGTGCAAAGAAAAATGCATCTTTTCATTGTTAAGATTATGGAGTAGTTTTCATCAATCTGACAGTTTCATAGAATTCTTTTTCACACTCTTTTTTTCTTTTTCTTTTTCTTTTTTTGGATATAAAGAACAATTAATGCAAATTTTAGAGTCACTCTTCTCAATATGTTTTTCAAGAGTTTGCGAGCTGATAGTTTGTGGTAGTTGGAAGGTGCTTTACCAGTTCGATATTATTGGAAGTGGTCCCTGAGTGGAGGAACTTCAGTCCTTTCCCGGGATAAACTGTGGTTTAGGGGGTCAAATTTTCCTCTACTGGTGCTTTAGCAGTTTGGTATTATATCCTTTTATTCATGTTTTCTCTTTTTATTTATTTATTTATTTATTTATTGAGTCAATGGTTTTCCAATGATGTATGTGATGGTTATGAACTAGTAGGCCCAGCTTCCTCGTAGATATATCGGTTAATTCTAAAAAAAAAAATCCTTTTCCTGAGCAATATACAATGAATCATAGGCAAAATTGAAGAATTTGAAGTGTGAAGGTCCTTTTCTACTTTATTCTTTCTGAAGCTTTTCATATTTCTAAATGCAGGTGTGGCATGGACAGAAGAAGAACACAAGATGTTCCTCCTTGGACTTCGGAAACTAGGCAAAGGTGATTGGAGAGGTATTGCACGCAACTTCGTGGTCTCAAGGACATCTACTCAAGTTGCCAGCCATGCTCAAAAATACTTTATTCGTCAGATGAATGTGCACAAAAGAAAGAAAAGAACCAGCTTGTTTGATTTGATGCCCAATGAAGTTGGTCTCTCATATCTTGTTGTAGTGTACACCTTAACTTTTTTTCTTTATTTTCTTGCCTCAATAACACCTTGCCCAACTTTCTTTACAGCTTGAAGCACAAAACAGCAATCCAGCTGCAGCGCCTTTACCCCTTCTGGAAGCAGAACATGAGTCAACTAGTTCCAATTCTAACAATCCAGTTCCTGCACCTTCACCTGGTGAAGTAGAAAGAGCTATTCCAAAGCCTGGAACTATGCCGCTTCCTTATGTAGTGGTACCCTGCTCGCCATTCTTTCCATTTTCGTATCCAATGTGGGGTTGCTACGGGGCAGATGTTATGGCAAACAGTATGCACTCGGTTGTTAAACCCACCGCAGTACATTCTGCAGTACCGATTAATGTTGGTGATGTGCCGAGCATTTCAAAACTGAGCCTTGGTGGTGAACCAGCTGGTCAAATGAGTTTTGGAAGTTCTGAAAGGATTTCTGCATTCCATAGAAATAATCCTACAAATGGTTCTGGGTCGAGTTCGAGTCCAATCCAAGCTGCATAGAGATGGCATCAACTTTGAAGGGCTTGGAAGGCATTCTTGTGCCTGGTTCAGTTTTTTCGGTTGAGATATTTTGAATCAGTAGTTTCTAACTGCGGTCCTGTTTATGGAAGTGACATGAATTCTTTCTTTTTAAGAATAAGAACATGTTACTAAATTTTGTTGAATGATAAATCCAGATAAAACACTTCTGACAGTGTCAATCCCTCCAATTTTGTTTTCTTTTTTCTTTTTATCGGAGAGGAATTAAGAATGTATCATATTATTATTTGTCTAATGAAATATCATTTTTCTTGAATTTGTTGTCTATATATTATGCGCTTTGCTACATGGACCCAAAATATGGGACCAACAGGGAGGACATGTGAGGTCTCCCACTCCTATTGCATAATGAGTTGGTCATCATTAATGATAGCCAACTCATTATGCAATAGGAGGGAGACACCTCACATGTCCCCCTTGTTGGTCCCATATTTTTGGTCCCTGGGGAATTTTTCATATATTGTTGTTGAGTTGATTATTTTTTGAGTTTCAGTAACATGAATGAGGGTACTAACTGTCTCCTTCATTCTGATGACAATAATTGTAGTTCTATTGCAATATTTCTGCACTAAGAGCTCCTAAAAGGCTAATATCCGATGTGTGGATTTTTTTGAGAAGATAGACGTTACCAAGAATGAACACGGTAGGATCCTCACCCAGAAGGCTAAATGTGCGTTGTACGACCATACTTTCTAAGCTCACCATAAGAACGGCACCAACCACCTCAAACGCCATATAGAAAAACACAACAAAGGTCAGAATCCTCAAGCTGATATCCGACAATCTATGATTTCCCAATCCTCCTCTTCTGGTAGTCTCGGTAGTTGGAATTATGATGTTGCCCGAGTCAGAAAATGCATAATCAGGTTTATCATTATTAAAAAACCTTCCTTTTAAATTAGTAGAAGATGATGAATTTGAAGATATGTTTAGAGATAGTTTTTATCCCGCATTTCTAAAATTTTCTCGTCAAACCTGTCGACGTGATATTTTAAAACATTATCAGGAGGAACAAGAAAAAACAATTTTTTATTTTAAAAATTTAAACTGTAGATATTCTTTAACTTCTGATATTTGGACATCTAGAGCACAAACTGGTTATTTATGTATCACGGCACATGGATTGATGAAAATTGGCAAATGTTTAAAAGAGTTGTTTCCTTTATTATAATTGAAGAGTCACATACTGGTATTAATATTACAAATTTAATAATTGAAGAACTTATGAAACTAGAAATTGATCAAAGAATATTTTTTTCTTTCACTAGATAATGCAAGCAATAACAATGTAGCTGTTGATTTTATCAAAACAACTCTGTCATTGTCATGTCATGTTGATTTTTTTTATATTAGATGTATCTATCATATTTTAAATTTAATTGTTCAAAGTGCATTTACTGAAATTAAACTCATGATAGAAAATGTTAGAACAGTTGCTAATATGCATAATGCTTCTGAACAAAGAATTAAAAGATGGAAACAATTTTACAAAAGAAAAAATTATAAGTCAGACTAATTCCAAAAGATGTTGACCATAGGTGGAATTCCACCTATTCAATGTTAAGTGTGGAAATAGAATATACAAAATTATAAATGATTATATAAATTATTATGCTTCTGATTCTAGCTCTGGTAGCACTTATGGAATAACAGAAGATGAATGGGCAATTATATGTAATTTAAATAAGATATTACAAGTTTTTTATGATTTTACAATGTTATTATCTGGCTGTTATTATCCAACTATTACTTTAGCTGCTTTACAAATTTTAAATATTCAATTTTTTTAACAAATATCGTATGAATGATACTTTTGGAGCTATAATTTTTTTACAAATTTTAAATATTCAATTTTTTTAACAAATATCGTATGAATGATACTTTTGGAGCTATAATTTTTCAAATAGAGAGCAAATTTAATAAGTATTTTAGGCCTATTCCCTATATTTTTGGTTTGGGGATTCTTATTGATCCATGTTTGAAGGATATTGGTATTCAAAGTTTGTCACAATCATTGTATGGTGGACAGATTATAGGCTTAGATGATGGATCCACCCTTATTGCTACTTCTCATCATTTGGGTATGTTTGGTAATCGAGGTGTTTGTTTTTGTTGTGTTTTTTAGAAAAACACCATGTCATGTTGTTTTTTTTTCAAACATGTTTTGAAAATACTATTTATAGTTATTATTTATAAAGCGGCGGCGACGGAGCGCGGGCAAACAGTGGGGTGGCCAGCCGAACGGGCTGATCCGACGACCGTCGGCCGCCAGATGACTGGCGAGGCATACGAGTGCGAGCGGACAACGAGCCGTACGACCCAGTAACGGGCGGGCGACGGCGCAGTGCCGGTAGGTGGGCCGGGCGGCGGCAGGCGACGGGCGTACCGGACAGTGGGTGGCCAGCGACCGCCCGACAGGCGGCAGACGGACGTCGGATCAGTCGCGGCATAAGTGCGGAAGGCGGCTGCCGCCCAGACGGCGGACGGCGGCCGGGCCAGCGGGCGGATGGGAAGGCGGGCAGTGACGGGTGCAGGGGCAGGCGTGACGGCGAGGCAGCTGGGCAGGCATGGGACGGCCGGCCGACGGAGACGACGGGCCAGCAGACGGCGACGGGCTAAATACGGCGATGGCGGTGGGCGGGCGGCGGCGACGCGGGTGACGGCGGCGGCAGTGCGGCTGGCAGCGGCGGCGAGCGGGCGGCGGCTGCTTAGATGAAAAAACGGAATCTCAAAACACATTTTTGTTGTTTTGAGAAAATTATTTATTTTTTGGATTTTGTAAAGGGTCAAGTCAAAAAAACGCCATGGTTGTCAAACGCGTTTTATTGTTTTTGTTGAAAACAAAAACAAAAACGACAAAAACGCCACGGTTGCCAAATGCTTAGCTATTAGAAATTATTTTCAAACCTTATATGATGAGTATGCAACTAGACATGGTGTAGTTGCACAACAGTCTACAACTTCGGCGTCTTCGAGCTCAGGCCGAGGTAAAAGTGTAAGTTTTGATAGGTATGCAATGATAGCTAAGCTAACTGGTGGATCTGGACTTGGATCATCATTAGAGGTTCTGAAATAGTTGAATATTTATCTGCTTATTTAGTTAAATATTAAGGAAATGCTTTAGATATTTTGCAATGGTGGAGAGTATATGGATCAGTTTCATATCCTATACTTTCCACCATGGTTTGTGACTTACTAACAGTGCATGTTTTGACGATAGCTTCGGAATCCGTCTTCAGCATAGCAAGACGTTTGATTGACGACCACAGGACATGCTTAGATCCGTATATTGTACAAGCGGTGATGTGCTTACAAGATTGGTGGAGGTACGAGAAGCGAACGCAAGACATCGATCGGATGGCTGGAATTGAAGATAAATTTGAAGATTTGGGACTAGCAAATAGATATAAAGATTAAACAATATTCATCAAATTATAATTTTTATTTCTTACCTTTAAATTTGTAATGAATTATTTTGGAAACAGTTACAAATGATAGTGATATAGGTGAGTAGGTGCCAACTTAGTTGGGATGTACTTATCTATTGTGATGCGACGAATTCCGAAATAAATTTATACTTGTTAAGGATTTACTGATTATTAATAAAGAAGTTATTTTTATCATCTTTTATTTTTATAATTTCTTGTATTTGTAATTTATGTCATTTTAAGTTATTAATAATATTATTTTTTATTAGCATTTTCTGTAATTTTTATGTATATTTTAAAATTTAAAGAGATTTTTAAAAAATAAAAAAAATTAAAAAATTTTAAAAAATCCGGTTCGGCCCGCCTGCGCCCGGACTCGAGCCCGGGCCCAGGTCCGGGCTCTGGTTTTGCCCGGTCCCGGCTCG